GTTTCTCTGTTTGTTGTCCTCAACGATAGGAGTTTTTGTTTAGACCAGCTAAACAAATTCTTTATTGTTTTGAATGGCATTGTCCCCGTTTTTTTTTTTTTCTTATTAAGAATTCATAAACAATCTTTATTATTATTTTTCTGAATTCTTTAACTTCAAATATCTATAATATAAAAAATATTCAATATAATCCAAATATTTATTACTAAAAATATTATATTAATATCTACTTAATAAAAAGTATTTAGTAAAATTCAATAAACTGGATTTTTGATAAATTGGATTTGGATTTAAACCAGACTTTTTTGCTAAAACTAAATTAAAATAGATTTACTGTATACTTTAAAATTAAAAGTAAGTAAATTCAAATTTGATTTAATTTATTAGAAATACTAATAATACTAAAATATAAAATTGCTAAAATCATTTATTATTAGTATTAGCCAAAATGCTAATATCAAAATTTATTAATTTTAATAAGCAACTTTAAATATATTAATAGTATTAGTAGTAATAAATTAAATTTATTTAAAATAAAATAAATTAATATTTAATGTTTTTATATTGTAATATAAAGTTCATTAGTAAAAACATCTATAATGCAATATTTAAAGTTGCTAAAAAAACTAGAGGGTTTTGGCAAGTTGGTAAAATAGCAAAATTTTGTTAAACCTATATTAAAATCTTATAAATAATAAACTTTATTAAAAAATTTGATTTTAAATATTACACCAAGATTTGATAGTTTAGCATTTATAATAAGTTTATCAAGTTTTGCTTTTTTCTAAAGTTTTACCAACTTTTAATCAAATATTATAATATATTACTAAATTAATAATAGGAAATTAGTAATAATTAATTACTACAGGTTTAATTTTTTTAATTTAACAGATCTTAAATATAGGTAAAATTACCATTAACATAATAGTTTGACTAGGATTATGTAATTCTACCCAGTTAAATGTAATAATTATATTAAAAAAAATATTAATTAAAATATGTAAAATATGTTTATAGGTTTTTTTTTTATTCAATCACCACTCAAATTAATTTAGTTATTAATTACTGTAATAGTTATAATTTACAATGCAATTTATAATACATTAAATTTTGGCAGAATCTTATATAGCTTTGTTTTTAATAAGGAAATTACCTTTGACCAAATGGTATATGATTATTTTAATAAATAGTTTATATATAATTTGTATTTTTCTTACACCCATCTCATTTCAAATCCTTTCAATCTTAATACATTCTAAACCCATATTCCATAATCCTGATCTAAAGTTAAGGATTTGTGTTCAGATCATCTTGGATTCCTTAAAGCAGTGTTGTACATGGGACATTGTCCGGCGATTTTTTGTGGACACGGACTAAAAAATCCATGTCCGCGTCCAAAGTCCGCGGACTCTGCAGATACAGACAAGCTGTTAACCGAACTTCAAAATCTTTGGCTGGAATTAACAAAGAAAAACGGCTGGCATTAATGCGGACAAAATGTCCCGGACATGAAAATATAGCGGACATGGACCGGACTGTCCGGTCCGGGACATCTCATGACAACAGTATGTGTAGTGACGCAGTTCATTTCCATTTCTAATAAGTATTCGGGAAATTTGAATTTTTTTAGAGGACGGAAAACCTGTAATAAATAGCAAACACATTCTTTATTTTGAAATTATAAAATAATAACTTTTCAAATTCTTGCACAATTGCCTATTACTGCAATATTAATCTTATATACTTCATAAAATATCTTATTTTTTCAATTGATTCTAAATTGAACAGAAATTAACAACTGTTGGCAAAATAAATCACAAAAAAAAGTAATGTGCTTATTAAATATATTAAATATTAAATTCGTTATATCCAGTCGGCTTTTATTTTATAATTCCATTATTCCCGACGTATCATGGGACATCATATATAATTTCTACTCATCTTAATTAAAAAAAACGAAAGTATGTTCCATATTATACAGTAGTCCTAAAAAAAAAAATTTTAAAAATCAAAATAAATGAAAAAAGGAGGAAAATTCGACTAATAAATTAGGTTTGTAAATGATTTGATGTGTGATTTTACATATATTATAAATTATGCTTAATTTTCTGCTACATTTCATTCATTGCGGTAAATACCTCGCAGCATACAATATATATTTCGATTGATTAATTTTTTTTGGTTATAATTTCGGCTCACTTAAAATTCGATTTAATCAATATTAATCTTCAGCAATTTTCCTCGGGCGTACATCATTTCTAATCGGAATCTTTAATCCTTGCTTTGCAAAAGCTTTAGATAATTCCGTTGATTCTAAAAAGGATTTATCAGTGCATTAAATATAATTAGAGTTGTAATTTTGTAGTAAGTAAAATATTTATAATAAATTTCCTACCTGTCATCCCGGGAAATTTTTTTGCTGAATATACGGTAAAAGGGTCTGAATATGTAGTAGCAATTATCTCTGTTCTTGTATTAATTAGTCTATCTTCGCTATAATATCAAAATATGCAATTATAAATGTTTTTGTTCAACAATTTAGAAGAAACAAGAAGCAATTATTAACTTACGTTCCCAGCTTCATTAAAGAAAACTTCAGAGTGTATTTTCCTTCTGTACGTATAGAGAGATCTGGAAAACAAAAGTAACATCCTTGTTCTCCCGTGGTATTCTTGAGGATGGCCGGGGATGAAACAAGTGATCCCATAAGAACACGTGTTGTCTTTGGCGGGTTGCTAATCACATTTCGTTCATCTCGTCCATCTTCAGACCAGAGTGTGACATGAAGAACGAAAAAAGGATTTTGCAACATTCTAAGTGTAAAATAAATAATTTATCGTATATATAATATCAGTATATTAAAAGAAATATAAAACATGTATGATGTTAGTAAATGCACACAACCTTAAGTTCGCGCTATATATTGAAAATAATAAAGTTACTTGTTTCAAATAATAATTAAAGAAAATGGAATCTTATTCAATAACTAAAATACTATCTTAAACTCACCCAGTGTCAGGATTCCCCTTCTCGTCAGTTACTACTAATTGTACGATCGGCGGTGGGTCGATCGGTCGCCGATCTTTTTCTCCGAATCCACACATTCGAGCACGTAAAGGTTGCTGACTAACTATGAGAGTATATTTCCTGCATGAGAGGTTTCCGATAAATTTGATTTGTTAATAAGATATTATCCAAAATAATAAATCAAGAATAATTTTTTATTCAATGATCAAAGACTTTTATGATTTCAATCGCATTTTAACAATAAACAAATTCAGGGCTTAACAATACCCGGAAATAAAGAAGATTAAATATCAACTGAAATTAAGCCTTTCCCATTAATATTCTTTGCTCGCTATCTTGCACACCTTTTGTCTTCATCCTCCCCTCCTGCTGGTGAATCAAAGGTACCAAAACGTTCTTTTTTGAATCTCGCTTTGTGTAAGGTTGGTGTTTTGGGGAATGTCGATGCCTTATTTTTATCACCACTCTCGGATGTTGAAGTCGGTGTGTTCGCATTAGATTTTGAACGGCGTTGCTGAATTCTATCCACAAAATCTGAAGGCGGTGCTTGTGGGGGTACTATGCTTGGGTTAATAGCAGGTGGGTGATATGGCATATAGTGGTGAGGTGCGTGGTAATCGTAATAAGGGTGGTGCGGCGGTGGTGGAGGTGGGGCAATGTGAGGAGGCATTGGAGGAGGAGCATAATAGCTCTCAGGAGGTGGTGGATATTCTCCACGTCCGGCACCATGGTATTCGGAATGCAAGGGCGCGCCAGATTGGCTATACATGACAAAAAGAAGAGGTGTACAATAAGAGTAAGAAGGAATCGTGACTGTATAATAGCTCAAAATTTAATCGGTTGAGCCTTGAATAAGAGTTTAATTTAAACCAAAAAAATTAAAAAAAAAATTAAATGTTTTACTAGTGTTTTATTTATATGGAAAGTGTATACACAATTTACTAAAAGTTGGAAAAAAAAATAAACAAATAAAAAGCAAATCACATTAGAATTTTCTATTCGATAAATCCTGGGAATATTTTTTCATTGTATTTAATTATACATATAATCATTATAATCAACATAATTCCTAATATCGGAAAAATGCACCAGCCGACGTTACAAAATTTAAGCCACCTTAAAGATTGCTCCATTTAGAACAGTTATATCGGAGAATATCTGATGCACTCAATCAAAAAGAACTATTTCTTCGAATTTCATATCGCATAGAACGGAATATTAGTTTTTCATAGTGCCGTATGTCACGTGATACGATTGGGTAGCTGATTTTATCATGCAATTTAAATTTTTGAATTGAAACTACAATGTGAGACAGCAACCATAACATGTAAAATGTCATATCAAAAGAATTGAATTCACAAAACATCAAAATAAAATTAATCTGAATCATCAGTCGAGTCATCTTGGTCTTGCTCTTCAGCTAATTTTAAAAGGAAAATGATAAATAATAAATACGAAATTCCAAATTGATATTAGGGAAAAATAAAGAAATTATACCTCCTCCTAATAATGCGGCTAGAGAAATAGGGTTTCCATCACCATTAGATCTTTTTCCACCCTAATAAAAAATTATATTAAATTGACTGTATTAATTATGTGTAATCACAAGAATGAGAATAGACTTATAACTTACTGCCGTATTCAAGTCTCTTTTCGTACGAGGCGATTTGGCAACGCTATTCATTGATTGTTTCATTTGGGCCTCAATATCCCCAAATTCAGATTCTAATTCTGATTCGCTTGAATCCGAGCCGTCATCACCAGAATTATCTGAATCGGATGATGAGGAAGAAGAAATACCCGAAGAACTACTGTTTGATGACCCTGATATATCATCCTTCGTTACATCTTCATCTTCTATCGGTCCATACATATCATCTTCAGCAACGGGTCGCGGTGATGGTGCATCAACTTCCTCTATCGTATCATCCTCCATCCAAGCATCATCCCCATCATCATCGTCTTCATACTCATCATTTGTTATTCCATTCTCTCCATTACCTTCTATTTCCATTACTTCTCTAAATTTCTCTTCAAATTCATCATCTTCCTCTTCATCTACATAATCATCTCCATTTAGAGTATATAACTGGTCTTCCTCATCTATCTCTTTCTGCATTAATCGAGATTCCAGTTCTCTCTCTAGCTCTGCATCTGAGTAAGAAGCAATATGAAACTCATAATCCAAGCACTCTAACGTATAAGTCTAGAAAAAAATTCTTAAACTTCTAGCAATTTTACAAAAATTAACTTAATTAAATAGAATTTTACCTTTGTAACCTCATCAAATATTAATAAATAATTTTTTTCCGCATCCTCAACATCCATTTCATCTGTGTTATCTTCAAATCTTTGTCCGGACAATGAATATGATGGTTCATTTTCCTTAATAAAAAAAAATCTAATTAATAATAACTCTAATTTTATAGATTAATAAATAGGCAAACACAAACCGAAGTTTCAAAAGAAATTTGAATAGTCTCCTCATTTTTGTCAAGTTTAATACTTGCAGGTTTTGAAAAATTTATACTTTTATCATATTCTTCACCAACTACAAAGAAAAACTATTTAAATATTTATAAGCCTACTCGATTTGAAGTTAAACGAAAATGGATATAATACTTACACACAAAGTGGAAATAAGGACTTTTATTTGAACGATTTTGTCCAACTGAATTTCCCAATTTAAAATCAAACAAACTAAATTCTTCGTTGCATTCGATATCCGACATTTCTTTATAATTTTATTTTTACCGAGAAAAAATATATTTGAAAAGGCAGTCAATACACGGTATTAGCAACTTGCACAACATCAGTTTGGAGGGCTCTGCAAAGGCCGGCATTGTTTCCCGGCACTTCCAGCACCCAGTTACATAATCACGTAACGTGAGTTTATGAATATAATAACCTTTATTTATAAAAAAAGAAAAAAAAAAAATAATAAAAAATCGTATTGAATTCGACAAATTTAAATAAAATTCTTTTGTTATAATTTATACCGTAGAATGTCGAACTAAAAGTATGCTAAATAAATTTTTAATCAATATTTATTCTTGAGTATCTTGTTCATCGTCATTATTCGTATCCTAATTGGAAAATTCAAGTCAATATTAAGAAATGTAATGTTTTCAGAAATAATTTGAACTTACAGGAAGATCTTGAGGGAAACCGCCAGGCATAGGAAGTTCTTGATTTTCATTTGGGAGTTGCTGTATTTCATCATTATCATATACTCCCGCTCCGCGAAGCACTTCAATTAATCTCTCAGCCGCTGCTTGTAGATTCGCTGTATCAGCTATTTGATGTATACGTTCAGCTATCGCCTGGACATTCGCATTCTATTTAATAAATAAACCATAATGTGTATAATTTTTTAAAATAACTGAATAAATAGCCAATATTGCAATGATACCAACTGGCACTCCGCCGAGAAATCTTCGTAAGTCAACTGCTAAAATACTGTCCCAATCAGTATTAGATGATTCCGAATATGCATCATAAGGACTAACTCCATCAGGCGGAGGCAAAGGATCGTGAAGATCAATATCTCTACTTGTAACCTCAGGAAGGTATGCGAGAAATTTAGAATTTTCTATTTCAGAATAACAAACGAAATTAACTTAATCTGATTATTTAGTGAAATCGACATATGCAAATAATATAAATACAGTACCGGAAACGACGATATATCTACTTAAATTTAACGGAATCTGTTCATTAAATGAATTTTCTCTGAGATTTTTTCCATATGAAAGAGCTTTCGCAAACTCTTCATCGCCCAAAGAAGCTAATAAATAGTAAAGGTCAATAAATACTATAAAGCAAAAGAAATAAGAAGGAATAATAAATGTTCTTACTTTTATAATCTGGAATTTGCATTTTTACAACAACGTTTATTGATACAGTCTGAAGCCAATTGATAAGCTAATAATATTATATCAAATCAATATACAGATTATCCAAAAGAAATATAGTGTTGTAAGGAATTTATGAATACTAACTTCAGGTTGCGTCCATAAAGGCGAAATTTGATCAACATAATGATCAATTAAAAGATTAAGATAATTGGAGCTTGGTCTGTATATAATTTAGCAATAATTGGCTTAATTTAATTATTAAAACATTAATAATGCAATTAAAATATAGAACCTTACACTTCTTGAATGAACGAACTTTCGGAAACATCACTTTCAAGTTGAATATCACATTTTTCGGACAAGAGAAGTATAACAGATGGAAAATAAAGAATAGCTTTTTCCAACATTGCTTTACTCATTTCATGCGCCTGTTTGAAAAAAAAAAAAAAAATTTAAAATTACAATTGCAAAAGCTAAGAATGTAAAAATAAATTTAGCTTACGGAATTATTTTCTTCGCGCGATTCAAGTAAAAATTGTGCTATTGCAGCAGAATAAGCAAAATTAGGCCAATCTTGCAACTTATGCAAAACCCATTCATTGGCAAGAGATAAAACATAAGTATATTGATGGGCTTTTAACCCAAGATAATCGATGAAATTCAACACACTCATAGGGTCGTTTGAAGGATCCAATGAAAGTAACAATTTTGAAAATTCAAAAGATGTTTGCCAACATCCTCGACGAGACAAAGATTGAACATGACGTAACAATCCAAGGAAAAAAGCTCTATATAAAAAATATATTAATCGATTTTAAGATTAAATTTGCATAATATCTCTTACCTATTTTCGAAGTATTTATAATCCATTCTGGAAGTGCCTTTTGTAATATTAAACTTAATATGGAAGCTTTTCTCGAACGCATATAATGCACGTTCTATAAGTTCGCCTGCCATTGTATGATCTCCCGACATTTTGTAAACGTCACTCATCTGCAATAAAGAATCAATATGATAAGGATTTTCATGCAATAGCGAAATAATTGCATTTGGATCTGGGAAAGACAAAATAATTAAAAGAATTAATAAAAAGAAAAAATCTTAACGTGAAAGAAATTATAGAATTATTTACCATGTGTAGCTATGCGTCGTAGAAAATCTAATTGAACAACTTGATATTGTTGTGAATGTATAAATTTAAAATGATAAATTCCATCATTTTCTTTCAATAACTCCATTCTTAGTCCAAATTTAAGAATCGGCGGCCAACTTTGTCTCGGTTTTGCCAACAAAGTTCTTTTAATAGTACGCGCATAATTTCTGCTTCGAATCTCTCTATCTACCTACATAACTAATTGTGAGGTTACCAAAGCGGAAATATTTAGCGTTCAAAAAAAAACAAATAAAAAAATGTTAAAGTTATTACTCACAATTCCAGAAGAAAACATCCTTCTCATTTCACCATCTGCATCCAATAAACGTGCATCTATGATTAAAAATGAATTGCTTGGAATTGTTGAAGACTGATGCACTTCATTTCCATTATCATCGCTCTGTTGTGCTGTAGAAAGATTACCAAATCTAGCGCATAAACATAATTTGAGTTAGATACACTTATTAAGTTATAAATAAACAACTACATAATTTACTTGTCGTTAATTTCTCGAATCAAAGCTTCTAATTCGATCTCACTCATTTCTTCAACTTTCTTTCCCGTTCGTGTTTTCTTCTCTAGCTCGGCCATAGGATTTTCAGCAGGTGTATTTTTCTTGTTTTTCTTTTTCTTTTTCTTTTTTGTAGAGGAAGTCAACCGTATTGAAGGTTCTAAAGTTTCCTATAAAATTGAAATAAGTTAGAACGATCAAATTCAAGGTGAAAATTTGGCGAAATTGACAATGTTCATACGTTGTTAATTTCGGGTTCACTGGCATTTTCGTCCGAGTTACGATTTTCAGTGTCGTCAGTCACTTCATTGAGCTGATTATTTATGAAAATTTGGAATATGTTAGGTTAAGAAATTTGAATTAAATAGTAGACCTTACATACTAAGTCAAACAAGTTACTCTTTGGTGGTGGCTGATCAATATCCTCAGAATCATTTAAGTCTTCGTCGTTAATACGCTTTGTAAGGAAATCGTACTCTTTATTTATTGCCTTTCTAAACGCACGTCCTGACATTTTAAATTTCGAAGAGAACTATCACTGAATTGTCGATGAGCTTACCAACAAGTTTTCCCGGCAAATCGTGTATTTTTCCGCCTTGTAGAACATAACCTCCCATGTGACATCTTGTAGATTCTTCGTATCCTTCGGTTTTTTTTTTAATGGGCAAAAGAGAGAAGAAAACTGGAAAGGGTAGATAAAATGAATGGCTATGCAACAGAAATAGTTATTTTATAAATTTTTGATTAAAATTTCATAATAAAATTAGGACGTTTGGACAAGTATTATCACTTGGCCAAGGAACAGGGTTATCGAGCTCGTTCAGCTTTTAAGCTTATTCAATTAAATAAGAAATACAATTTTCTGGAAAAATCAAGATGTTTAATTGATTTGTGCGCAGCTCCTGGTGGCTGGTAAGTTATTTTGGCTCTAGTGAGAATCCAAATTTATTTTTTAAAAAAAATTCTTAATTGCTTTTAAAGGTTACAAGTTGCGAGCAAATATATGCCAGTCTCAAGCTTAATTATCGGTTTGAATTAAAACTTCATATAATTTTGTATTTCCAATGAGTTCATTTAAATTGAGTTAACTTGGTTTAAAAAAGGTGTTGATCTTGCACCCATTAAACCGATTCCAAAGATTATCACATTTCAAGAAGATATTACTACAGACAAATGTCGCGCCACTCTTCGAAACGAATTAAAAACTTGGAAAGCCGATGTGTAAATTATTATTATTATTATTATTATTATTTGCTTCTTAATTTTATAAATAATTAAATAATTTTTAAATTAATATAGAGTACTTCATGATGGTGCTCCTAACGTTGGTGTATCTTGGATCCAAGATGCTTATGCACAGTCTGAATTGACTCTAAAGGCTTTAAAATTAGCTGTAGAATTTTTGAATAAAGGAGGTTTAGTATCTTATGACTTTATTTATTAATGATTTATTATATGATTGACCCTCATATCATTTGATAATACGATAGGCGCTTTTGTTACTAAAGTGTTCAGATCAAAAGACTACAATAATTTAATATGGGTTTTTAATCAATTATTTAAAAAGGTAGAGGCCACAAAACCAGCTTCTTCAAGGTAATCATTAATCATTTTCCATTGTGGCTTCTAAAATAGAATTCAATTTAATTAATTCGTACTTTAATCGTATATATAGAAATGTCTCTGCCGAAATTTATGTTGTATGTCGTGATTTCCTTGCCCCTAAAAAAATTGATCCAAAGTTACTCGATCCTCGCTCCGTTTTCCAAGAAGTAGATATTGGCACGATAAATAAATCTGTAAATGTATTACATCCTGAAAAAAAAAAGCGAAGAAGAGAAGGCTATGATGATGGAGACTACACTTTATTTAAAGCTGCATCGGTTTTGGATTTTATTCAATCGAACGATCCAATTAGATTTCTTGGTGAAATCAATAAGTTAAACTTTGATACTGATGATGCCAAAAAGTGAGCGTTTACAAGTAAAAAGTGAAATATAATATATTTTAATATTTTGTGCTGACTTTTATAATTTCTTAGATTATTGAGTCATAAATCTATTACCGAAGAAATTAAAATATGCTGCGAGGATTTAAAAGTTTTAGGGAAAAGAGAATTTAAAAACCTTTTGAAATGGCGTGACTCCGTTAAATCATCGGTATTGTTCTACGAAAACTAAATAATAAAGTTGTTATATAGAATTTTGACTAATTATTGTATTGTAGCTAAGGAATTTCTCTTTAAAAAATAATAGTTTCAAGAACAAGATGAAATAAACGAAAAACCAAGTGAGAAGGACAAAAAAGAAGCATCTGCTGATGAAGACGAAATCATACAAGAAGAGGTTTACATAAATTTTTATCATATTATCTTTTTAATCTTATATTTATTAATTTTAATGGTTACGATAAACAGCTTGAAAGATTAACCAAGGAAGAGCAGGCTCATCAGAAAAAACTCCGTCGAAAGGCAAACATAAAACGTCAAAAAAATGTGACGCGCATGCAACTAAAAATGATTTCCCCGACAGATATAGCATTAGATCAAGTTGTAGACGAATCATTGTTTAATTTAAGACAAATCGATAAATTTGGGGTAAGTATTCTCAGTATTTTTCGTTATATAAAAACTTGAGATTGATAAACGATTATTATCATTATGCAGATGTTAAAAAAGATTCGGAAAGGAGACATGAATATATCCATTGATAATGAGCAAGATGACGACATTATGATTGATGATATTGATGCTCAAAAAAAGGACTTGCACAAATACGAGCAAAGTGATAATATTGAAGATATGGAAGATGTTGATTATGAGAGCGAAAATGATATAACTTATTTAGAACAAGAAATGGATGAATTGTAAGAATTTACTCTCATTGTATATTTATTACGCATTTCGTTTAATGTATTTTAATTTCCTTTAGATATGAACAATATAAAGAATATAAGGCGGAACGTGATGCAAAATATAGAGTTAAGAAAATGCGCGAAGAAAATGATATCGTTCAAACTTTTGACAAAGGCGATGATGATGACAGCGAATCAGAGGATTATGCTCTGCCTGACAATACTGACTACTCTACATCAGATGACGATGATTCTGAAACTGAAAAGTCATTTAGTAATAAAGTAACGAATAAAATAAAGAAAAAGAATAATAAGTTAGTAATAAATTTAGATTACGATGATGATAATGAAACAATTCGAAGTCCTGTCGAATTAAGTAAAAAAGCAACATTGTTTTTTGATCAACCTTTATTTAAAAAAGTGATGAAGGAATATGATGAAAATAAAGAACTCTCAGAAACTAAAAAGAGTGAATATGATGCAAACGATGACCTTAAATTACCGTCAAAAAAGAATAAAATAATCAAAAATTCCAAAGCTGATGGGGATGAAGATTATGTCAAAAATTTTCAAGTAATCGATAAAGATTCGGATTCAAAAATCCGTAGTGAATCGTTAAAACGTAAAGCTGAAGAGGTAAGAATAGGTAAAGATGTCTTTATTTGGTAATCGATTTAATAATTTGATCTTTCTTTTAGAATGATAGAGGCGATGACGATGATATAGAAATAGTTCCAATTAATAAAGACAATAACGAGGAAATATGGGACGCTAATGAATCTGACGAAGACGAAAAAAAGATGAAAAAAGCACAAAGTCGTAATATATCTTATTAAACACATAATGGAGAAAATTTACTAACTTACGTTTATATATTCTTCCAATATTGTAGAAATTGGGTTAATTACTACGGAAGCCATGAGTCTTGCGCAACAACTAGTAAATCGACAAAAGACCAAGAGTGACTTAATTGATGAAGGTTTTAGGCGATACACTTTCAATGACAAAGAAGGATTGCCATCTTGGTTTTTAGATGACGAAAGGAAGCATAATAAAGTTAATGTGCCTATAACAAAAGAAGCTGTGGAAATTATTCGTCAAAGAATGAAAGCATTGAATGCTCGACCTATTAAAAAGATAGCTGAAGCTAAAGCTAGAAAAAAGATGAGGGTATGGATTTGTTGAATTAAAAAAATAGTTTCAATATACTTACTATTTTTTTTCCTATAGGCCATCAAAAAGCTTGTTAAGCTTCAAAAAAAAACTGATGCCATTGTTGATACTCCAGATATGACTGAAAGAGAAAAGGCACAAACAATTTCAAAAATGATTTCTAAAACGCAAAAAAAGGTTAAAAAAGAAATTAAAGTAGTTGTTGCCAAGGGTGGAGCCAAGGGTAAAAAAGGTCGCCCTAAAGGGGTGAAAGGAAGATATAAGGTAACGTTTATCTATTTCACCCAAATTGTTCAATATTCGGTTCGGTACATTAATATATTTTTGAAATATTTAATCTACAATTAGATGGTAGACTCTAGAATGAAAAAAGAAGTTAGAGCAATGAAAAGACTTGAAAAGAAAGGAAGGAGATAAAATGGTAATTTAATAGATTTAAAATTACTATATCATAAATCTGTTTTGTGACGAAATCTTATTTGTAATATCAATATCAATAGGAATGGACTGCCTGATATTTCACTTTCTCTATTTTCAAATGCATTGATTTTGCAAAACCTAAATTCAAAGTAATAAAGATTTAATAAAAATTTGTTAATAAAAAATAAATTTCATATTAGTATTTATTTTATTATATTTTCTGTATTGTGTTTTTATTAGATTAGTTTCGATTACTCTGTTATAGGGTTGACTCGTGCTTGACACGTGTCGGCTCTACGTATCTGTTCTTGGGATACTTTATGTATTAATTCTCAATAAAGATGCACTACAGTTTAAAAAAAAAAAAAAAAAAAAAAAATTTCATTAAATCAATAAAATTTCATTAAAAATTAATACAATAAAAAGGTTTTGTAAATTATTATTATAGCTAGACCTACTAACTATTTAACTATTAAAAAAGTTTGGGTATTATAAATTTTTTATTATTTTATATTACTAACTAATTTTTGGTTTTCTAAAAAAAAATACTTTTCTAGTAGCATTAACTATATAGTTAAAATTTCATTTATTATACTAATATTATTACTTATTTAATAATTTCTTTTTTTATTTCTATAAATTTTTATATTCTTTGCAAATTTTGAATTAATACCTTTAATTTATAATAATAATTCAAAAAATTTATAGTTATTATAGGATTTCAAATATTTTTAAAATAAATTATAAGTTATATTTTTAGGCAAACTTGGCTTGGTAACCTTTATCTTTATTAAATTTATACAAGAATTCAAAATAAACAAGAGAACGTGTAAAGTTCTATAATAAACATAACCAAAAAATAAAAGCCAAACAGTCTCCAAAAAATACAAATAAGAGAAAGCTAAACTAAAAAGTAATATATGCCTAAGCTATAATCATGTTTATATTATTATATCTTCCCTAAAATCTATTTCAAAATTAGTAAAAGTAACTGTGCTAAAAAACCCACTTTTCAAGCAACCTTTTCTAGAAATGCCACTTAGGATTGAATAACTGGTGAATCTTTAGCGCCGTTAAATTGATCAGCTAATGAAGCAAACTTTGTTAGATATATTATTAAGAACGATTTGCTTGGCAAACTCTATGTTTCATGATCAGTATAGATGTTTCCATAAATCTTCACTCAAAAATTTGATTTGAAGAAAGGCGCATGCGCAGTCTTTTGATTCCAGGTCTCAACTAAGAAAAGAATGACTATTGTTAGGATGATTCTATAAGTAAGATTATAATAAAAATAATTTCCCCTATTTGACTATATTACTAACAATAATAATCCAACTTCACGCAGAACATCAGAAACTTTTTAGTATTGTGCAATTCCTTAAGGGATACCCATTTTATTTCAAACGATCCTTTGAACTACGATCAACTTTAAATAATATTATGTGATAGTCCAACATGTAACCAACGGATTCCTGTACTACAAAAACTGCGGTACATAATCTGTCATCCCTTTTTCACCTAAAGATCAACCAGCTTAAAAAAGAAAAAGATTAGCAATCCTATAATGTCAATCAAAATTTCCAGTACCCCATTTTCCAAAAAAAAACAAAGTTACACAAAAAAATTTAAAAAACAAGAAAAATAAAACAAAACAAAAAATAAAGTTATGATACAGAAAAATCTTAAGGTAAAAACCCTGCTAAAATAATACCAAACATATATCGCAACTCCATTACCTTATATTAGAAACCTTTCTAATCAGAAATCAGGTCCAAACAACTAGTAAGTTCTTTCAAGAATAACAGTCTGGCTTGAAAACCACTTGGCCAGTTAGACTTTAAAAGTGTAGGAACCTAAATGCACTACTTTTTAACCTTTCAGAAAGCCCAGAGAAATATTTGTATAGAACGGCTATCTTATATTAAGCTTGATGGATAACACTCAGGAAATTTCAAAGAATTTCATAATAAATGGTTGGAAAAACCAGTGGTGGGAATAATATTCCTACCTTTAGATTACTTAAAACATCAGATGAATTATTCCCAACCATGGAGAACTCTTTGATTAGACAGTCTACTAATAGCAAAATAAGAAAAGCACTTTAACAACTTCTGCTGAAAAAATGGACAAGAGATTGGTAGAAAGAAAGGGTAGTCAACCTCTCTAAGTTATATTTTTAGCAAATTAACCAATTTTTTAAAAAATTAAAAATTAAAATTATGCAATTTTTTTAGCATTCAGTAATCTAATTTTAATGAACTTTTTTTTTCTATTGAATTCTACAGATATTTGCAAATTGCAAAAAATAATTTTTTGAGTTTTAGTAAAAAAAAGCATATGGGCGGATTTGATTCACGGGATAAAATTGCTTTATTGCCTCATTGGTCCTTTTGCGTTATACTAAACTGATCAGCAAACACAAGATTTCACATCAGGTGAGTTGTAGATCAATTGAAAAATTTTTTTTTTTGAACTTACCAACGTTAAAAAAAAAATATTTTTAAAAAAAACCGCGTTTTAACCCATCTGACATAGTTACAACCCATCTGACTTAAGGTATATCAGTCTGTGAGTTGTATGAATATTTAGTGCTGGAGTTTTTTTTTATTCTTTTGGCTAGTTTTCTATTTCTTCTTTTTTTTTCTTTNCTGTCTCTTATACACATCTAGATGTGTATAAGAGACAGGTTCTAAATTCTCCCTTTTTGTTTATATAGGTTCATTTGAGAAGACTTATTGTAAAGATATTTTGAAAGTGAATTTTTGAAAAGAGTTTGGGTGGTTATCTTTATATTTCACTATTTTTTTGTCACAAGTGTTAAGCGTTCAAAATGTTTTATGTTTCTTATTATACTTAAATTTAAAGTATTATAAATACTGTAATAGTTAAATTTATAATTTAAAAATCAATTTTTAGTTTTGACTTGAGACTCATATACTACTTGTGTACTTTTTAAAATTAGAAATTAAATTAAAAAGAAGCGAAAGTAAAAAAAACATTTTATTGGAGTGGCTTAGCGTTATCATATGATGTTACACTGATCTACATATCATAAATCTGGCCAAAATTATGTTAATTTTGGCCAAAATTAAAATCATATCAAAATTGATTTTTTTTAATCACACTTCTTTATGGACATCGTGCAATGCATCCTTAACTTTGCTGTACTTGCATAATGCAAAAATTCAGCATATTTAGGTGATGAAACAAATCCGCCGATATGGTGTATAATTTATATATTAGATATTTAAAGTTTTATTATTATAATCTTTTAAAATAAAATTCTATTCTAAAAAATAAGTTTTTATTAAAAAATAATTTTATATTCTTATTTAACAACCACATTGCAATTAGTAATAAAATGGAAACACACAAAAGAGATCAAGAAATAAATTCTAAGAAAGAAAATATCAGTATATCAATGTATTGCATATGAATAGATTTCAACTCAGCAAATAAAAGATGATACATATAATTTAAAGAGAAGGAAAATTCTCAAACATAATAAACAGTAGTCAATTACTTTTAAGAAAATAAGACAATATATAAATCAGTTTATTAAGGAAGGTATAGTATAATAATATCAAAATATATAAATACAAATATAATTCTTCTTTTTGTTTAGAGAGTAGTAAAAGCACATATTGAAGCTATATAATAATAATAATCTATATAATTTAATAGCTACTATAAGAGAATATAGATGAATTTCATATTGATGATAGTAAGGCATAGGAGTAATCTATAGGATGGAGAATCGATTCAGTATTTAAATAAATTAGTTATGCATATAGCAGAAACTTCTGTATTTTCATATAATTAATAAACATATGAATTACACTACTTTGCAAAAAAAAAAATAATTTTATATTTTTAATAATACAAATTGGCTAAGCGGTAAATATTACATATAGCTAAAAATTCATTAAATACTACTAAAATATTATATGTCATTTTTCCAATTGGTCAATATAAAATAAAACTCTTAAATAATAATTTAAATAATATATAAAATATTGGAAATATTTTAATAAATTAATATAAAGTAGAAAATAATAGTAAAATAAATAAATTTTATTAGGAGCATGCTAGAAATTAACTGATTTAAAAGAGGATAAGGAAAGTCAAGCTTCAAATCAGATTTATATATATATCATGTAACATCTATACAGTTCATCCTCACTATAGTGAATTCTATAGGCTGAAGATTAAAATTAATTATAGTGAGAAATTCACTATACTGAGGATTATTTTATTATATATAAAAAAAATCTGTACCTGAACTTTTCTTCATTATAGCAAGTTATTCACTATATAAAAATTCATTATGGAGAGAGTGAACTGTATATCTAAATATAAATATAAATAATTTAATTATTTTTATATATTAAATTATTGTAATGCAATTATCTTAACTTTTAGTAATTCAATTTTAATAAACTTTTTTATAATTTATAGCTTTCATTTAATTCTACAAATTTAGCTTTATAAAATAAAAAAAAGTTTGTTCAAATTGAATTACTAGAAGCCAAAATAATTGTATTTACATTATAATAATTATTATAATATAATTATCTTGACTTCTAGTGATTCAATTTTAATAAACTTTTTTTAATTTATAGCTCTTATTTAACTTTAAAAATATAGCTAATAAAACAAAAAAGTTTATTCAAATTGAATCACTAGAAGGTAAGATAATTGTATGATACTTAATTATTATATATAATATTTAATATTTTTAAATAATAAAAATTTTTTTAACCGCTACTAATTGAAAGAAATCAGCTAATTTCTGGTACATCCCTTATAAAAAAAATACCTATAAATTTTACTTTCTTTTTACTTTTTTTACTTTTTATATAAAATTTTTTTTTAACTGCAACATACTATAAATTTATTAAAATTATTAATTAGTGAAATATACAAATAAGTACTATTCTAAAAAACTATTTTAAATTTTTAATATAATTAATTTATAGAAAACTATATATTAAAAAACTCTTTCTGCTGATTGTATAGACCATTTTTTTCACATAAAAATTTTAAAGAAAAATTTTTGAAATAATGGCTTTTTCATCAAAACAAACTATTTTTAAAGTTCTTTTTAAAGACGATGATTTTGATACAACTGTGGATAGAACCATTTATTATGAACTGGTCAAATATGCCTTAAAAAAATATTGTTCTTTTGACTTGACTGAAAAAAATATTTCTCAAACTGTTGAAAAACATACTGGTAATAGTGATCTATATACTAACCTACTTATTATAGAACATCTGGAGGCTTTCAAAATCTTTAGTATTGGTAACTTACAGTCTTTATATTATTTTTTCTTTATTTTTTATGAGTTTTTTGACTTTATTTAAGTAAATGTAACTAAAGAAATAGAGAACGCTTGCAAAGAGTTTGTAAAATAATAATACTACCCTAGCCATGGTGAAAAAAAAGTGACTGACACGTGACTTTTGGCTCACATTACGGCGTTATGCACTAACACGTGAAATAATTGGTGATAAATAAGGGGTGATGAATAAGTTTTTACCTACTCGAAAAAAACTAAGTCCCTCAGATAAATATAAAAAGTGGAAATGTGGTGGGATGTGGCAGTTATAATGAATAAAATGCAGTCACATGTCAGTCACTTTTTTTTTGCCATGGCTAGGGTTGTAGTGAAATAACAGATGACGTCATCACAACAAATCCCAGATATATCCAAATCTGTAGAAGATCAACCAATAGATATAGAAATTATTGATATGCCTATTACGTCCAAACACCAATTAAAGGAATCAATTAGCATCTTCTTAGCAAAAGCCACTTCTTTTATATCTAAAGATAAACAAAAGCAAGTTTTATATGCCGATATGATTAAATAAAATCTAAATAGTGATATTAGCAGATTTGACTTGCCTTCACTTTTTACAAAAAAAAAAAGAAAAACTGTGCCCATTTCTAATACTGGATCTAGCAAAAGTTCTTTTAAAACTACCAAGAAACAACCCGCTACACTTTTATCTAAAATGATTAGTACTATAATGACTGGATATATGCCTGTAAATAAGGACTTTATATTCTCTCCTCCTAGTCTTAATTTGATACGCTTAATCACTTAAAAACCTGGGATGATTAATTTTAAATCTCAACAGAAATACGTCATTATTACAGTGTCAATTGAACTCAATCAAGAGGTTACAAGATTTTGAAATAATGGAGTATAAACTGCTCCACTTAAAGGTTTATCTATATGATAGTTTCTAGCTAACTGGGATCTCAAATAAAGAAAAAAACAGGAATGATTCCAGGCTGTACTTAAAGGAGTTCCTACTTCTATTTTCACAGCTACTTTATATCTGGATAATCCTGCTCACTTTATACTTCTACTATTAGGATTTAAAGTATTTAAATTAATTTAAGATTGGAGTACCCGCAAATTAATAACTTATTATGAATTGTGAATTGACTTAAAGAAGGTCATTAGTAAGCCATTTAGCTTAAACGAATTTACTAGTGATTAATAATAAAATTTTTATTAAATCCATGATTTTTGTTTTTTTATGTAGTTTGTCTATATTAACATTGCAAAAATTACATGTATAAATTTAATTTTAATAACATAAAAAAAATATTTGACGTAAATTACATATGTAATCAAATAATAAATAAGTATTTTTCAAATTTAAAAGATTTTTAAATATTAAATAAAATGTAAAAGTCATTTTTAATAAAAATTTTTCAATATGTATCCAATTTCAATAAAAATTGACTCACAAAGACTTTAAAATATTTTGAATTTATATGCAAAATTTCAGTATATATTAGTATTATGTGGGAATGGAGCAAAAATTTACTGTTACACAAATTTGATAGTAAAAAAGTAACATATTCTTTTCCCTCTGCAAGACTATATGCATACTTATTATTTATTATTGTAGGTGAATTATACACGACCATAGTTTGTTCTTTTGAATAAATAAAAGATTGGATTTATTTTTGTATGATTCGTATGATCGATAATATTAAGTTCATCTAAATGAGCACTAGTGATATTAGGAAATTATATCATTTTTCATCACTTTATATCGCTTCATATCATTTTTCATCATTCCATATCATTTTTCATCACTTCATTTCATTTTGCAACATTCCATTTCATTTTTATTACCGTATTTCATTTACATTATCCCATTTCATTTCTATTTTGTTTTCATCATCGATCCTATTTCACTTTTATTTCATCATTCCCTTCGCTCCCATTTTATTTTCCATCGTTCTATTTTATTTTATATCATTCCATTTTACTCCCATTTTGTTTTTCATTATCCTTTCACTCCAATTTCATTTTTCACATTATCCTTTTAATTTCATCATCCACTTCATCTCTTTTTATATATTCATTTTTTTTCTGTTATAAAATTATTAATTGTTAACTAAATTATAAAGGATTATATATCTTATGTATTACTATAGTCTATAGGTTTTAAATTAATAAAAAACTTAGATTAAATGGTTAATAGATGGGTATAATAGTTTAATTAAAGTTATGTTAATATTCTTGTAATTTAAAAAGTACTGAAATATCCTGATTGATATTTGAGTATTTTTCTTTTATGCCATTTTTTGGCACCAATCAGATTTACTATTTGATGAAAATTTAAAAAAAAATAGGGACCAATCAGATAGTAGTATGAAAACCCCAATTCTGGCTCACTCCCACCATATAATCTAAAATACTACCACTTTATATAATCTAATTACCACCATCATATAACTTAATTACCATCATATAATCCACCTACCACTTTT